CACAACATGACCGGGACACCATCACAACATGACCGGGACACCATCACGACATGACCGGGACACCATCAGAACAGGACCGGGACACCATCACAACATGACTGGGTCACAATCAAAACATGACCGGGACACCATCAGAACAGGACCGGGACAACATCACAACATGACCGGGACACCATCAGAACAGGACCGGGACACCATCAAAACATGACCGGGACACCAGCATCACATGACCCGGACGCCATCAAAACATGACCGGGACACCATCCGCCCACCAGCTCTGACGGTGACCCGACGGCGCCCGTCCGCCTATTAGTTTTGCAAGACCCCATAGCATGGCTATTGGGGAACTAAGTCGGATGTGTCTTTGTTAAAGCATGTTAAAGCCATTGAAGAAGGAAAAAATGAAGAGAGAAAGGTAAGTGCCTTCGTGTTGCTGATGTCTATTTTCTTGATGCCTCCCCGTGAGGACTCAAATGGCTCAAACCCTGAGTGGGGTCTTATACGGGAAGTGGATGGAAGTGGACGTCTTGGGATTTGAGGTGTTTGAGTTCCGACGGGGAGATATATTGCAGGCAACGGTAACCCGCTACCCTCAGAATTGCGGAATCTGTAGTCTGAGAGGTGAAAAATCCCAAATGGCCAAACCGAGTGAGATGTCCGGGACAAAAGACTCCATATGGAGGGTTCTGAGTGAGATTTCCAGGTAGAAATTGAAAATTATGTTAGTCCTTGATGTCTTGCCTGAGCCTTCCTGCTTGGGTTTCCAAATGTTTCAAGTGCCTATAAAGTCATTCAACCTTTACAGCACCAAGCTCCAAAAACAAATTGCAAAACAAGTAACATGTGTAAAATGTAGGTGTCCTTCTCACAAGGGGGGCTTAATTAACGGAGACAGCCCCTAAAAACCGCCAAAGGGTCATCAAAGGAGGCCCTTGTGCAGGTCTTAGTTCTGAATGTACTCTGCCAGCAATTCAGCATTCCCCATTCAGGTCCAAAGGTGCCTGGCACGCAGCTCCGATGTCCCACTGCGTCAGTGGATGCAGCCACAGCCGCAGGATCGACTGCCTGCCATTGATGCGTGGATTGCTTGAAAATAGCCGGCACAAGGGCGTTTGTCCGCGACCAAACACTAAAGCATCGAAAATCACACACCCACACACACACACACACACACGCACACTCAATGGTACTGATCTCACCGATCACACACTCAGATTTAATGGGTGTGATATGGTTTGATGGGTCGCCAACTGTCCAGTTATGTGCAGTTGCACTTGTTGGTGGCTCTAGACCCCAATTCAAAACTTGAAGCACGTGCAACGGTTTTGGTATGCATCTCTCTGTATCTCAAAATGGTCTTTCCCCCAACCACGGTGGAACTCCTCACCGAAGGAAAAAGAAGCCGTCATGAAGCGAACCTTGCCCTTTGTGCGTCAGATCAAACAGGTACCGCTTGGGATCCCACCGGCACAACACCCAACATGGCTCCATGCCATGCGATGGATTCGGGTCGACGTCCGTCCAAACGGCAGCCCGGGCGACGGCTTGATGGGATGGCCCAAGCGTGCTTTGAATTCGAAGCTGAAGGCAGGCACCTGAGGTGAAAAGCAGGTCGTTCCGAATGGGGTCATGTTGGGGATCGTGGCGGTCAGTGGGGGGGTCTGGGGGTTGGTAATGGATTCCTTCCGCTGTTGGACATGGTGAAAAGCATATGAAGTATATATAAAAGAGCTTCTTCCTCTGCTTCTTCACATGGGAAAAGCACCAAAACCCTGATGCAATTCCTTCACTGCAGCATAAAGCGCCCGTGCTGGGCACTAAAGGTCAAAGGACAATTAAGAGAACCCCGCCGGACCAATCATCCTTTTAAAGATGTATCTCCACCACCACATCATACCTCATCCCAGGTTCTGTCATCTGAAGTCGCACTTAGTCCCTACCAAGACTCTTGTTTGCTCTAGCGATGACAACTCTTTGGCACTCATCAGTTGGTGGACACAAATCCAGTCGATTGAAACCTTTCTGCTCTAAAGACATGCATACATCCTGCAATGCTAGGACCCAATGCACAGTCACCAGTGGTACCGAAGGGATGGTTTTTGGAGGTGCAAGATGGTGCAAGGGTTTCTTCAATCGGGCTCAGCGAAGCGATCTCAACACATCACCAGTCTTCGGGTCCGGAAATCACATGGAGTCTTCGGTCCGGACGGGACGGCCTCAAACGGTGGGTCCGGACTGACAGCGTCAACAAACACCGACCTACGGTGGTTGCAAAAAACGACCCAGCGACCCGACCGGTGGTAATGTCATGTGTTTAGTGTTTGTTACATCTTATATATGATATATTGGCCAGTGGGTTTGGGGGGCTCCGGTTTCTGAGCCACATCCACGGCTACTTATACTGGATAATGATGGTTGGTACAAACAAATATGCATCAGTTTGCGTGTGTGACATCTCCTACACGGTGTGCTTTTGTTCCTGCAACAGCTAATGGCTCAGAGCGGCCTAATGACCCAATTCTTGCTCTAGAAAACCGCCCTGAAGAAGGAGGAGCTTCAATTTCAATACATTCCAACGACCAACAACAACTACCATATACTATAAACCAAAATGGCCCGGTGTTTGTTGGTAGTCTTTAAAGTACAGGTATGCACAGGTCAGGTAATACTAGTACTACAGTATGTATATACCACAGGTAATACCACTAGTAATACCTCTCAGGTAATACCACAGGTCGGGTCAATACTAGCTAAAATACTTGTTACCTCTCTGGTTTTTTTTGTTTCCGCCACCGACGCTCTTCCATCCTCCCATGTGCATCCAAGGGCTCCCCCACGTTCAACAGGTCGCCATTGGCATCCGGGCACTTGGCATCGATGGGCGAGCGGCAGAAGCCTCGGAACCCACGGGCAGGAGGGTGGAGAGTGAACGGAGTGTGGACACGGAGAACGAACAGCTGAGAAGGGGTCGGTCTTTGCTGTAAAAGGCTTTATGTAATATATATGATCTGCTAATAGCTCTTTTTATCTCTCTGTATATATATAAATACATAATAGCCAATAGCTCTTGCTTCTTTTTACTGAAGAAGTTCTGTGTTTTTCACTCTTCATATTGTCCACATTTGTCCACCCGGACCACGGAGTGAATAAAACACTTGTGTGCATTCAATCAGTGAATTACCCATGCAGATCATTTCCCTGAAAGCTAGGGGAACATCTGCTGTCGGCATCCTCAGATCTTACAGGAAAGAATGGACGTAGAGCCTCTGGGAAGACTCTATCAAACTCTATCTTCTTCTTCCCAGCCAAATGCCCCCGTCTTTCATGCTTCTGATGCCTTACTCATTCTTCTTTCATGCCTGTCGCGCCTGTCTTCCGAAATTCCAAGGCATCTCCCCGACTTCACCCCTGGTCACCTCACCTGGTCGAGTCCGGCCGCCCAGCGAAAGAGCGCCGCCTGTGGGGCGCCGCGCTCAAAGAAGGATCGGGCTCCACGCCATTTCCCCCGTTGCCGCAGTCCTTTTCGGATGTCGCAGGACTTGGACGGCCCTTCGACCCAAAACACAGTCGACTTGGACGGCCTGGCACCTCCGAGAAATCCTCAGATCACCAACTTCGAGATCGAATCCTTCAATCCTTTTTTTGCAGAACTGTGCGAGGCGGGGCAGAAGTGTGCAGAACTGAGTCCTCCTCGGTGTTGCACACTTGGCACGCCAGTGTCGTGGACGGTGACACAGTGGGGTTCTTCCTGGGCGCGGCAAGCAAGTCTGAGTATATACATGGGCATCGTTACTAGTAACAAGAAGCTACTAGTAGCTCCTGGCATTGCTACAAGGAGCAAGAAGCTACTATAGTATCAAAGGGCATCGCTACTAGTAACAAGAAGCGCCAGGAGTGTCTTGAAGTCCAATTGGCTACCGTAGAGGCTTCTTTTGTAGCCTATTGTATCCTCCTCAAAGAGCGGCGATTCGTTCTTGTTGCTTCTTAAACAAAAAAACAAACTATATAGACTGAGTTCTTAGAAGATTCTTGCGACGTGTTCATGTTGAATCTACTGACTGGTAATGTCCGTCCCAGATCGTCCAAGTGTCTTGAACTCGACAACTTATCAGGCAGTCTCTTCAACTCATGATGATTCTCTGAACTCCAAGCTTCACTTTACTGTATACATCTGGACTTACATCTGTATACAGCGTGCCAAATACATCATCTTGCTTCCTGTCATGTCATGCCTCAATGTTAGATCGCGATGTGTAAATGTATCAAACACATTTGTGCATTGGATTGCATTGGTTCATCTGTTTTCAAACCCTGCAATTGATTCGGATTGTAACAAAGCCATCATTGTTGTTCATCTTTTTCCTACACGTCGTGTTCCCTTCGGAATTACTTCATTGCTGAGCTTCCACACTGGATGATTGCGATGGAATTACCGACTTCATGTCCTGTTGTCACTGAACTAAAGCAAAATTACCAAATCACCTCGACTTCTCGTCCAGAGAGATAAATTTTCAAATCGAGATCCAACTTGGACACTTGCATGGTGATCTTCTTGGACCAGGAAGGACAAGCCCAGGGAGCCCCGCTCATCATGAGGAATGCAGTAGGTCTTCATCTCCTGAGGACAAGACGGACCGGGTCATGTCTCTCAATATGTTGGATATGCCATGGCAGTGCCATGGCTTGCATGCTTTCCGACACTCAAAGGAAACAAAAGGACCCAACCGATGTTCTCGGTCTATTTGCAGGTCACGGTAATTACTTGCAAGTCACAAAGTCCGAAGGCGAAATAAGCTACTAGGAACAAGTGCCTTACTAGTAGTAACAAGAAGCTATTAGAAACAACACACCGAGGAAAGACCGACCTTTCGGTCTATGACCCGCACAGGTCGCGTGGTCGCGACTCAGGTCGCGTTCGGGTGATATGTCATGACCTGAAGAAACACAGGCGGATGCTTATGGTAACTGAGTCTGGGTGCTCACCATTGGCCGAAGCCAACGACTCAGAGACTCCCAAGCGACAGCCCTAGCGGCAGCTTTCCGCTTCCTGGATTCCTGCGTGATGTGAAACCGGTTGGACCAAACAAAACAAAGAAAACAAATAATACACTTTTCCTCCCCCGTGCACTCATAGAAACCTACTGCACTGCAACTCTTATATACTGAGTATAGTCGGATAGTTGCTGTTTTTCAGTTGCTGTATCTGTCTTATGCTTTCCACCAACCCACGAATGATCATGTTTTCCACCAATAACACCACTTCCAACCACCGTGTCCAGTCGGGTCCAGTCGGCTCCTCGATGATGGCGCCGTTGGTGCCCAGCACGCGGAAGCCCTGAGCGGCCTGGCCGTTCTGAAGCTCTGTGTCGAAGCCTTGGCAGAACCCGCGGAGCCGGAGAGAAGCGCGGACGGTGTCGTAACGGCGTAACGGCGTAAAAAGCGGGGTGTCAAAGCGGTGAATCCGCGCCAAAGATCTGGAGACCCAAGGAAGAAAGCATTTTTCGGGAGATGAGTCGTGCAAGCAGGTGAGCAAGTGGATGAATTAGCAAACTGGGTGTGCAAATCTAGCAGCTATGGGCGATTTGGGGAGTGCTTGTGACTACATAGTGGGGGGAGACCTGGAGACCTGAGAGGCCAGGTCTTGGACCAACATGGGGCGATCTATCCAGTGAGTTTGCGGGTTCAAAACCAATGAGTCTACGTTATAGCTCATAGAATCTTTGTGAATCACAGGTTCTTGGGAGACACATCTACTGTATCTTGAAGTCTACACACTGGCTATTGGTTACATATAAATACTTCGACATTATATAAATTTCCTTATGATTCCATATGGAGGCAAACACACTGGATATATTTCTTGATGATTTTGGACAGCTTCTGGGCATGCTGGAAGGAGCGCTCATCGAACATGGACAAACCAGGGTAAACAACAAACAAGATCCGTGGCTAGCGGTCGAATACACCTCATTCCTACACCACATCGTCAATTGTGAGACATTGTTCAGGGTCCACCTTGAAAGAGGTCGGATAAACATCTCCGCGCCAAGATGTGGGAGTTGATCTAAATTCCTTTATCCGGGACCCGTCATTTTCGCCAAAAAAAATTACTTTCGCCAAACTTTCGCCTTCCTGCGTTTTGTCTTTCGCCGAAGTACGTTGTATTTATGTGTGCCATGTATGTTGTGTTTTGTTCACGTCAATGGCTTCTTCTTTACTGGCAAACACAAAATAGAAACTTGACTGCTTGTCAGCATGTGTCTTCTACTTAACTGTTGACACCCTGTACGTCTCTTTTGTTTCTCCTGGGTGTCAGCAAGAATCAAAATTGCAAGAATCACTGTAGTAGCCGGTCACTCAAACTTACTTATAATGGGCTGGGGGTCAGATGTGGCAGGGTGAACTTTCGCCAATCTTGAGCTGAACTTTCGCCAAACTTTCGCCTTTTGCGGGGTAGAGTTTTGTGGCAAAGCCACCCCCCAAAGCAGGAGCAGGAATAGTAGTAGTAGTAGTAGTAGTAGTAGTAGTAGGAGTAGGAGTAGGAGTAGGAGTAGTAGTAGTAGTAGTAGTGGTGGTAGTGGTAGTGGTAGTGGTAGTGGTAGTGGTAGTGGTAGTGGTAGTCGTAGTAGTCGTAGTAGTAGTAGTAGTCGCAGCAGCAGCAGGTTATCTAACTTCCACAGCTCATCTAGCTTCTGAGTCACTGCCACCAGCTGTTCAGAAAGCAAATGAACATTCATACAAAAGTACATATTTAATCTTTCGCCAGATCTTTCGCCAAAAAAGATTTACTTTCGCCAACTCGAGAAAAAACTTTCGCCAAATGAGATTTTGATATGTTCCGGGTCATCGTCATACACACTGCTGACTAGGACCTTTAGATCGACAACCATGTATAGGTCCCATATGGTCCCATGCGTGGCACATGGCACACCTCCCCTCAATGGCAGTGACATGAGGATCGGAGGGGTGAACAAATTGGATCTGATTGCAGCCTGAGCCGGCCTCGAAGCGGCCGTGTTTGGTCGATGGTACGAGAAACCAAGCCTAACCGAACCTTTTCACCTCTTTTCACCCAACACATCCATGACCTGGGAGGTCCCTCCATGACCAGTCATAGACAAACCTCTAGAGTCTCTAGAGCCCTAAGGTCCTCGAAATCCCTGTTTCTTTTTGAACCGGAAGAAGATCCCTGAAGCGTCGACGCCGTCCTCGACCGATCGATGTGTCTCCGAAAGATATTCTCCGAAAAAACTGTCTCTCTGAGGCTCCCAGCGTGGATCTCCCGCTTGGTTGAACATGGGGTTCTGCGAAGAGGTCATCGACACCACGAAGATTTGTTCGTTTGACTACAGTTGGGCTGGTGTGAGTGATGCTCCATGAAAAAATCATCAAAATTCAATGGAATGCATGATCATGATTGAGTGAGATTCTCACTGAATCATGAATTCTAAGATGTGTTGGCCCCGGATCCTGCACGCATGGTTTTCCACCTGAACTGCCATATGAGTGAGATGCTTATTGCCACAAAACGGATCTCATGGTCGGTCTCGTTTTGTGCAGCTTCGCAAGTAGCCCAGAACACGCATTCCTCACTGGTTTGAGAACAATCAGTGCCAACTCAACACTGCAATTCATCAAGGGGGACCCAGAAACTCCTACTGAGAGGAACAATTGAAGATTGATGGGTTGGCAGGTCCCAAATGCTGATTGACAGTAGACTATGACAGTCCAGACTCCGGACGGTCTTGTTTACACGTGGCATGCATGGCATGGCACGACATCCGCAACAAAAAAATAACAATTCCAATGGTGACTTCGCTCCTACTCAGATGTGCCCCTTGAGCAAACAAGCTCAACGTGTCTCAACTTTAATGAGGGCCTTCTTAATCAACGTGGGTGGCTCCAGGCACGTTCTTATTGTGTGTGTAATAGTGCGCTCAACGTGCTTAAACTTTATCTGAGATCTGAATCTAAACTGTAAGACTGTAAGAGTTGGTGCGTCACTCATTCTTCAACAAACCTTCAGAAAATTATGATACAACTTCTGCGTTACACCCTTGCAGGACGCTTCCATAGGTTGAGAAAAAGTTTAGTTGCGGGACCAAGTACAGGCAAACATGGTATTCTTCTGCTACTGCTACTGCTCCTCCTCCTACTACTATCGCCCGAACTCGCAGCTCCGTGCTCTTCAATAGGGTACGACGAAGACTTGCCCAAGTCACCTCTTCACAACATGTATCTGTGGATATCGATAGGAACGATTCAAAAACCAATCCTTTTTCTATAGGGCCACTATCAATCACCACCCCGCGCCGCAAGAGACCCAGGGTGCGCCGGAGCAACCGCTTGGTATTCGGACGCCCAAGGTATCGCGAGGAGGCACTCGAGTCCCAGGCGTTGGGTAAGCCTTGGTCCGCTCCGGCGATCGGAGAGTTCCCCGACCCTTCGGTGAAAGATGTAAGATGAGAGGGGAATTAACCTTGACACCTCTTACAAGAGCTTGAAAACAAACAAACAAACATGGTGTATTTTGGAGTTCACTGGCATTGAGAGTGAGGACTTTTAGTTGACCACTCAAGCCGAAACGGCTCTTCGGCCAAAAAGCAGATCCCTTCTCCACCACGCCGAAGGGATTGTTGTAGACCTGAGCAGAGGACAGCGCACTTTGCTTCACTGATTCAGTGGGGACCTGGAATCGAGGCAAGCGAGAATCATTCACGTTGCAGTGGAGTATTTGGACTTCGAGGCACCCGGTAGTTGGGAACATGTTCCAAACCCTCGCTGTGCGTGTGAGTTCTGTGATTTCTGTTTACCTCTCACCTACTTCATAGTTCATTTTCCAATGTTGCTCGATGATTTCTGTTTGTTCTAGAACACCAATGGGCTTGTCTTTCTGAGCCCATGTCGCATTAGATTGTCCTTGAGTGCGGAAATGACATATGACATGTAGTTTAAACAACGAGCATCAGATTTTGGACCAAACATGTATATATTATATCGACTACTATAACGAAGGTCCCCTAATTGATCAATTCATACACACTCACACACACATCACAAGCCCTCTATTGACTCCCCCACCAAAGCATGGGAATTCATAAGACACCAACCCCTGATCGATCGCAGCGTTGATCGGCTTCCCGGCGTCATCCATGGACCACACCCACACGGCCCCATCCGCAGGGAAGTCGGCTCGGAGGTACTGGCCGTTTCGCGTCGCGCAACGGGCTTCCCGGGCGTTTCGCGACGGAGGAAAGGGTCCAACTTCATGTGTGCAAGACGAAAGGGTCATGTCTTGGGTGCTTGGTTTCGCTGAGCGAAGGGGAAGGTGCGACTCCTCTCTCGTTCAACAAGGTGTTTGTCTTGTCTCTTTGCTTGTTTGTATGGTTTCTCTGTCTGCTTTCGATGTAATCGACAAAGTCCTGAGGCGCCAAATGGAAGTGGCTGCAACAGCGACTAAAGTTAAATGGATCGATATGATCCAACTTGTCGTCCAACATGCTTACAAAATATACGTATCTATATATATACATAGTACATAGAGAGAGAGGGAGAGTAGATAGGAGATGACCCGGCAGCAGCTCCTTGCTTTGTTCCTTGCTTTTCTGCCAAGCGATTGAACTGCAAATAACCAAGTCTTCAGTCTTCACCGAAACCGTATTCTTTGCATCCCAACTCTGCTAAACCCGCCTCAAGCACATTCATGTTGGTGATGGCCATGTACCTGTGGCATCCAATTCTTGCCGAGTTCGGATGGAAGGAACGGCAGGTCTCAGATACATCGCTTGTGATCCCTTGTCCATGTCACTTCTCGTTGCATCAAAATACTCCTTGTGGCAGGGATGAAGGAATTTGGGCAACGAGAAGTGCCGTGGACAAGGGCAAATATTTGCAATTTGTAATTTGTATTGTGGCAAAATTACAAACATTGATGTAGGGATGTATGCCAGTCCGATTGATTGCTAGACCATTTGCTGCTACTGCTTAAAGAGCAATCTGAAGGATCTCAAACTTTGAAGCTTCACTCCAAGTCGTCTGCCCGCAACGACCGGGTGTTTCGACCTCGCTCTGAAGAAAATCAGCAAATCGTTGTGACACCAGGAAAAAAGAGAACATGGCGTGCCGACTCACACAAACAACCCACCCGAAACCAGGGCAGCAACATGCAGCAACGCCCGGTCGAAACGCCCGGTCGTTGCTGGCAGACTACTTGGGGTGAGGCTTCAGAGTTTGAGGTCCTTCAGTCTTTGAAACGTGTTCGGCAAGGAACCTTCAGGGATGAATGTGTGTAAATATGTGCCAGTCCCATGGAGTGTCAGGGAATGATCCTAGAATGAGCTAACAAAGTCTCTTTGACTCAAACCCTTTGTTCCAATCTCTCCGATTCGACGCTTCCTCGGGAACGACCTTCTTATTTTACCTGTGTTTTACTGTTTCGCAAACGCATCCCTTCCCAACCCTCATCGTCCCTGACCGGCAGTTGGCGGCTGGTTTTTCGGCACTTGGTGTTCTTCTTCAAATGATTCCCCGCGCTGAAGAGGATGTGAAGCCTTGGAAACGTTCGTCGGACTCGTTCGCCTGGTCGTTGCTCTTTTTTCGGTCCAGGACGAATCCAGCTGAGTGGAGAACGAGGTACCGAACATCCAATAGCAAACGGGCATTTTGTGCAGAACTCCTGGTGAGTTCTCTGGGCGCTTTTCGGAGATGACCCGACTCTCAAACCTAAGGTCTTTTTCTTTTTCTGAGTTTGGTTGTGGGTGAAACACGGCGAAACATGGGTGACCTCTTAGGAGGTGTTTTTGTTTTTTGCGTGCAGAAAGAGTTACAGTGATGTCCCATGTCTTTGGGTTTGTGCCATCTACTCCGAAACCACTACAAGCATGATAAGTATAGCTGATACTCTTCGGACAAGGAGTTTGCTTCAGAAGGTTGATTGTAGCCTCCTCAAGCAGCCTGTGCACTCCTCAAGCAGCCTGTGAATGTTTTTGTGATCCAAAACACACATGCCAAAAGAAGCCACCACCTCCGGCACCAAGGAATGCAGAAAGGATCAGCACAGCAGAAGCAGAAGGAGCCCGAATTGAGTAAGGAATGACCAGATCCAAACACTCCATGTACATCCATGTAGACCTACATTGACCCCTCCAAACACCGCCTCAGTGTAGGGAAATATATGCCAGTTCGTTGGAGTGTCTGGGCGGGGTCTCCACACCTTTCGTTTCTTTAAGGCATTCATCCAAAGAAACGCCAGTCCACCCAAGGTGGGGCAATAGGAGATTTTCCCATCAACCAAATCTGGGAACTTGAGAGCTCACCCAAAGCCGTCGCCATGAAATCATCTTTGATCCCCTCCACCTTGGGAGAAAAAGGAAAACATGAGAATTTGATGAGGTTTCGCTTCAACATTCTTTGCTTATCAACCTCATTCCTGCCACCAGCTGGAATTTCCTCTTTCATTCACACAGGATCAATGCCTGCTAGTGATGCTCCTCTGCTTTCATTTACCACGTGGATCTGGCTTTGCCCAGTCAACAAACAGCATGCTCCGAGTGATCAGAATGGTACCTGAGAGGGCACCCACCTGACAGGTTACCAATGATTGGTTCTGAATGGTTCTGATTTGTTTTGGAGTTCAGTCGTTTAGGACACCTGAACCTAGACCAATGGGTCCCACAAACAAAAGGAAGGCCCTTTCCAAACCCAACGATTGTCCCTTTGGGAATGCTTGTGGAGTGCTTCTGCGTCGCTCGGTTGAAATGGGGCGAATCCTGGGAACCCGTGGGTGATTTTCTCGTTTGGTTTGCTTTAATTTGTTTCTTTGTTTGGCCATCTGGGAACCAAAAGGTTGCTACCGACCATGATTCGAACATCAGGAAACGAACAAGGTCGCTCTCGCCTTGCAATGGCCCGATCGTCGCCCCCAGGGCCATCGGTGATCCATGTTTGCCTAGAAGCTGTTTCACAGTCATGGATGGATTTGTCGTGTCCTGCAGGTGGATGGGCTCAAAGAAGCTCAGAGATCAGTGCCACTGGGGGGAAATTCAGCTGAGATCATCCTGAAGGAATGTGCTGACGGTCCTATTTGTCAGCAAATCCTGTGACGTAGTATACCAACAGTTGTTCCTTCTGCAGGATGTTTGAGCTCTGGATAATTTGAGCGTAGTAACAGTAGTAAAAAGCACAACGACCCCTTTCAAGCTCCTCCTGATGGTGGAACAAAATCAACATGAGCCCTGCCAGTGCTCCTCACTGTAGTAGCAACCATCTGGCATGGGAAAGCCTTCTTCATCCTGGTGCCAAGCCGAGGATCGTTCAGCAATGGGCCAATTTCTTATATCATATACCTAGCATGCCTGCATGCAAGTACTATTTGGCCTCAAGCAGCACGTAATTGAAGGAACCAACGAAGCCTTCGAAGCAATACATTATTCAGTATGTTCCAGTACACTCTTGCAGAATCTCATGTAACAAGCCAACTTCCAACTGCAAAACCCACAAAGCCCAACAAAGCCTGTGTCACCCACTGGGGCGGTGCAAAGTCTCCAAACACTGATGCACTGGAGGCGAATAAGTTCCGCCCAGAAACATGATGCGTCTGTTGCGTAAAGGGGTAACAGTTCATTCCCTCAAACTAGCAGGAACTCAAAGGACATTCTTCTCAGAAGCTTTTGGCTTCAAGACTCCAAGACTAGACACAAAAGAGTGTGTGTGGTCGCTTGCAGGACGGCAAGCTTGACACACAGGCCCAAAAGGACCACAAGAACTTATAGTACCGGGACTTGGACCCGAAACAGCATCCTAGAAAATGGGTCATGGCCTGAAAGAAACACGTATATGACCTCTATACACCAAGTTTTAATGTATACAGTACTTGGAGAACTCCAGGAGGTACACCCTTCTTGCGGAACTGAACTACTGCTCTCTTTTCTCTGCATCCACTAATCCATGCGAAAAACAAGAGCCTCAGACCAAAGCTCGGTGAAGAGCCGTCCGCAGAAGTCTTGCCGGGCCTGGACCATGCATGTTGGGAGATGTATGGTGGGCATTGCCTTTCCAAGCAACATGGAAATCTGATTTATCTTGGAGTGGGAAACCTACGACTACTACCACTAATTACATTGTGCTCTCCAAGCGTTAAAAGGCTCCAAATGGTGCGCATCCGCTTTCTTCTAGAAATCCTAATCTCTGATTGTTCAGAGCCAGAGCTGCTGAAATGGAGGAATCATAGAGTTCCAATCAACTCCTTCCTTGGCGCTTTTGGGGGATTGGTGACACGCACCTGCCCTTCAGGGGGATGCTAGTGCCTGGTCGTTGATTACAATGCTTACCGCATTCTTTTGCCTACATGCCTGGAGTGTTTGGGTTGTAAGCATGACCCGCAATTCTGCAAACAATAAAGGGACTCTTCCGATCAGCCAATGAGGGGCTCCAAAAGGATTTGGCTTTTGCCCAAGTGATCTGGTGATCAGCCAATGAGTGTGCTGATAGAATATGGGGATGGGTTAAACCTGGAGTCCACCATGTAGCTAACCAAGGTATCCTGGTATGACCCACAGCCATATGATCAGCATCTCCGCCCATTGGAAACATCCCGAATCCGCACGACCTCCTTTCCGGCCTCTGAGGGCTGATCCAGGTCAGCAGAGACCAAGAGAGGCTGCGGATGGATGTTGAGTCGGCGGTGCTCGGGAGGAGGGTGGGGCCGTCTCCATGCGCAATAGACGTAAAGAGAAGAAAAAACACAGGCCACCACGTGTGGATGCCCACCAACAGACCGTTTACAGACTTCGTGATCTGGACGTTTCTGGAGTTGTTGAGTCCATGGATGTTGAGGCCAAAGGCTCGGCAGTAGAACATCCACAGCAAACACCCGCGAATCCTGAATCAAACTCATCCAGGTATCCGTTCCACCTTGGAAGTGGAGTTCACCCTCAACTTGAGTTGGTTAAGAAGTCCATCCAACTTCGTTCATTGGACTATAGTTGAAGGGCACCATATACAGGACACCATAGCGTTCACCTCCCAAACGGTGGATGTTCCCTCAAACCAATAAACCATGTCTGGGATACCAACCCAACATCTTCCAACCTCCAAACAAACCACGGAATGGACCCATGCTGTTCCCCCCAAAACGCTCGCAAAGCGGTGCACCCAAAGGCCCCAACACTCCGTACCGTTCCCGGCCTCCAAGAGATTGGTCCGCGGCAAGAGCACATCCTGAGCTCCGCGCACCGATCACATCGCTGGAGCTCCGTCGGTTTCAACAGGGCTCGAGTCCCTAGGGCTGCGGTGGAGCCTCCTCAGGCTCGGTATGACTGGACCCTCCTGGCACCCACCCCAGTCCCACCTTCTTAGAAGGTACTGGGAGCCCTATAGGGAGTGATACCCAAATAGATGCACTTGGCTCAAATGCACGAAAGGGCCCTGAGTATTTTCGGGCACATGAGCTTAAATTATATACATCGCGATCCCCAAATGGATAGTCGCACGGTTTCCAATAGTTTTTGAAGTGATGATCTACTTTTCAAATCTATTTGGGGGTCTATATAGAGAGATGTCTGTTGACTGGAGCGACCGAGTCACTGTCTCAGCAAACAAGTACAAGATGTTGACCGAGTTGACTCATGGTTGACCGTTGCGACACGTGGATTTGCTTCCATCGCCCCCGCCCCCGCCCCCCCGCGATCTTCTACTTCTGCCATTGGAGTGTGACATGGAAACTGCCAACGAGGAGCCGAGTTCACTTCGGCGAAGTTCCATGAAGTGTCTCTGTGAGGTCTGGCAAATCTGTCCCCAAACGCTCCATGGTGCCGCCAAGATTGCCTACTTTTTGCCACACCATGGATATGTGATTAAATATGCCTAAAATTGCCTAAATATGGATTGAATTGATGGTGGCTCGATTGTGGCTCCAGAGTTATTTGCACATACATGAAGCGTCTGGGGGGTACTTCTCCGTTGATTCCAGTCGTTCTGAGAAGAGCCTCCCGAGGCCGAGCTGCCCACCGATCTTGGGCGGGCTCGACTGGCCAAGGCTCTCTGTAGACCGAGCTTCCAGGAATGGTGTCGTCCCTGGGAAGGGCGTGGCATTGGACTTGCCAGAGGTGCAGGAGTGTTTGAGTCGATTCCTCAGCATCCTGCATTTTCGTGGCATGAACCTGCATGGTCCCCCCACTCGACATGATGGATGATGAAGGCCGTTTTACAGAGTTTCACGTTGCCAAAGCTTTTCCAGTCCGTCAACAGTATGACCAAATCACAGCATGATCAGCATGGCCCGCGACTCCCAAGATAAACAAAGAAGAAACACATCGTTAAACACATCTAATTTAAAGTGTAAATATATGTGACATATAGCAGGGTCTAGTCTTTATATACGTATAATATGCACCCACATTCACCTATGACCTATGATCAAACAACCCTATGAATTGGTGGATCACGGGGCGAGCCATCAGGCTCTGCCTTCGGATGGTTTATAATACTTTAACTCATGCCGCATCCCTGCTTAAAGAACACGGTCAATGAAGAATGTTCTAGGGTAGAATGGAAAGGAGCCAGGTCATCTGAACTGTTTAAGTGCTCTCACGCATCCAGTGTTGCACATGTAACGCACATGTCCTGGTCTTTGCAGGATTTCAGGGCTTCCAACTTCTTCTGCTGTACTGCAAAAGGGCTTTCAAGAGCCCCAACAGCTTCGAAAGGACGCTTTAGCTTGGACCATGAGTTCATCCTGAAAATAGACAGCACGTTTAAAGGGTTCTGCAGGTCCAAACATTGCCCCCTTAAACTCTTTAACGCCGATAAGATCGCAACATATACAGTTATACAAATATAGCATAATATAGCTAACATGTGCTGACATGTACATACACGTACATATATTATATACATTATATACACCATTTGGACGAAATCATATCCATTCAACTTTAATCCTTTCCCTCCAAGGAAAGAACCGTAGTTGATGGATTTCATCTTCTCATTTTCACCAGAAGACATGGAGCCTCACTGAGGCCCCCGACAATCCCGGCAGGATCTCAAAGACCAAATGCTGTTGACCTCATGACTTGGATGGCACTGCCCAAGATCACACCTAACACCACTAGCGTGTTTGTCCTTTTCTTTTTTCGGAATCCAACTAGGTCTACCTTTCTGAGACACCACCACAGGTTAGATGTCTAGCAACTTGATTTTTTCTTTTGGGGTTGGCGCAACAAAACCTCTATGCGACGAGATCTTTAAACATCTTTATATAAACCCAAGCCAATGCATACATTGCTCCACTACCCGTTTGTGTGTGTGTGAACATACATGAAAATCCATAAACCTTGGGCAAAAAAAGACTCAGTCCCTAAGAAACACATGTCACAGACTTACAGCAAGAGAAGTTCAAAGCACAAGACCACTTGCATCAAGCCAACCCTCCTCCACTGTCCCTGTCATTATGCCGCGGGGCCTGTGGCTGTTGCATAGTGTGCCAAATCCCCCGTCCTGAGCAGCCGAGTTGCAAGCAACCTATGGAATATGCCTGGAGCTTGTGGATCCTCCAAGACGCTCTCTCAATTCAAGATCGCTCACAGCACCAAGTCTTTTGAATATATTATATAGATAGCTTCAAGGGATCTTGTCATCTTGTATACATGTACGTATATGTTCTTTCAAATATATATTATATAATATATAAATAAATATATATTATAATATATCGCACGACCTCGCACGTTAGCATGAGCTCACGTCAAGTGTGGGGCCTGCGGGAATGCACGTTGCAGACTAATTTTCATCTGCGGATGTATCGTTATGTTTGCATTATGCTTTTCCATTGCCCCACTCCCCACCACGTCCCCAACCTAGTCTTTTTCCAACACATCAAAAGTGTTGGTTGCCAGAACAATCAGCTTTTGAGGTCCTTTCTTTGTCATTCAATGATCCAAGAAACATTGCCGTAACCAAATTGACAATCATAAGGTGTTGATTTGGGAATCAAACGTTCTTGAAGAGGTCATGGTTGGTGTCCCTTGAAGAAGGAACCACCAAAAAGGCTTTCATGGAGAAACAATCACACCGCTGGGGTGATGAAGCTAACAAACAAGCTCCTGCACCAGCTAGGAACCCTGCTTTAGATCGCAAATCCATTGCCAAACACTCCATCGTGGCACCAACATATGGCCTGCTAGATTTACCACCCAATTTGCAGACCACCCAAACTCCCAAAATTCCTCCACCCCATTCTTTCCACCCACCTCATGTGGGGCGTCGCGGTCCGTTTTTGGTCGCGTCTCTTCGGTCTCGTCGTCTGTCTCTCTGTTGACGCCGCCAGGGCGCACGAAGGCGATCGCCACCGGGCCACCGGGATTGCCCTGGTTGGGCGTTTGATCCTGACGAGGCCGGTGACGGTCCGGACAGATCCAAGGGATCAATCCGGGAAGTTGTTTGGGCGTTGGAGTTCCAAAGGGAACAGGTGGGTTGGATTGGTTTTGGGTTTAAAAAGGGATTGAAGTTCATCAAAGTTCATCAAAGCTCCAGTACTGCATTGGGTAATTGTTTGGATGAACTTCTTCCATGAAGCTGCTGGTTGGTTTGGTGATTTCACCATGGAGCAAGGCAAAAGTACTTCACAGGCTAGAGCTGGGTTGGTGTACCAAGAGGGTTGCATTGCATAGTTGTGGGTGAAAACACAGAACAAATTCTTTTCAGAGCACCATGAAGAGCATATTGTTTCACAGGTTTACCCATCCCAGCTGGGGGCGGTAAGGGACCAAACGAACACATGACATGACAGGCTTCCCCACAGGCATCACAGTAGTGAGGCCCAAGTAGGCCTCTGGCATGGCATTCCTGGCACTGGATTCTTGTGTCCCGTCACAGTGCGGAGTGGCAAAGAAAGGAGCTGGGGCCTCAAGCGTGTATGACTTTGCTGCTGTGAAGGTCATGGTTCCAAGTTGCTTCTGGTATGTTCTGGTGTTGTTCTTTTCTGCGCTCGTGTTTGTTTCTTCTGCTCCCCTTTGTCACTTCAGTTTTCCAGGCGCGCAACCTTCCCTGAATAATAGTTCAAACGACTTTGCCAGCACTTGCCTCTACACAAATGGTCCTTTGCAACGCCTGGCTACCAATGAGAATTTCACCGTCACCTGAAAATCACAGCCAAAAAAATCCAATCTTCAGCCAAAGAAGTCTTTCACAGATCCATCAATTTATGGTTCTATGACCTTGTTGGTGCCCAAAAGGTGTCCAAGCTTCACCCTGTCACAGCCGCAAACGGGTCTGCAGGTCTGCAACATGTCGGCACCACGGGCGCTTCACGGTGATCTGACCCGCCTGCACGGCGCCAAAGGACGCAGGTCACCCGTGGTTCCTTTGGGGTAAGCGGTGGACCCTACGCTTGAAGAACTCCTGCAGCACCTGGGCATCACCTGGGCATCACCCTTTCCAGCCTGGTGCCATTTTCCATGTCAAAGTGGTGGAGCTCTTTCATGAAGAGTAAGAGGACCAAAAATTCCAAATCCGGGAGCTTCAAAGTGACCTTTTCATGTTCCAGGATGAGGTCGCTTAGGCCTGCCAAGGGTCAGTTGGATACTCCAAACAGGTCACTTTAATGGTCCTGGGTCCTGGATGGTGGTTTCTCTTTAATTAGGAGCGTTTGACCACTCACGTCTCTAGGCATGTCCGAAAACTTCGCACGAACGGGCGCAACAGATTGGCTTACTGAGCAGAAACGAGGCAGATTCCTTTGAAAAGTCCTCTCTTGCAAAGGCCCTGCTGATACCGTCTGCCCAGAGGCGAAGTTGAAACAAACATGGTAAACCCCTAAACATCCCTAAACAAGTTCTTCTGGCAGCAAAGCAATGCAAAGCAAGTGAATCCCAAACATAGTTCTACACATTTCTACACCTTTCAATCACGTGTTTCATGTTTCCGAAGATCATCCAAGCTCCCTGTGTGTCTTTGTTGCGGCCTGCCCGACATAACTTTGGAAGTCAGCGTCAGCGAGTCCACATTCGCTGCACCTCAGTCACTCACTTGGGAGGACAAAGAAACAACCTGTTACTATTGATCCAAACCATTTGCCTGTGGGTCAAAACCAGGAGACCTTGGAAAACACGACTTGCGGACACGCAAGACCTTGCGCTCCCCATGCAAGCCATGCTGGGGTGTTGTACCCCGGGTTTGAAGGGGTATCAACAGAAAAGGATGACAGTAGAAAATGGAGATAGCTGTTTCAAAAGAATACCAGGAGACCTTGGTTGACCAGACCTGTGAGGTCAAGCATGGACCAGGGCTCCAGGTTTGGACTCATCCAGTTCCGGTGTCTGGTGATCCGATTTCCTGGTCAGTGACCTGACCCACTCACTGCATCCCAAGCGGCCAACACACGATGTAGCCCCGTCCCTCGGGTGATTCAGCCCCATCTTCGACCTGAGAATAGGAAGTCTGGGATCGCACCTATAGGTAACAGGAGTGGTTCTTCTCCCAATTCAGAACACAGTATTGATAGCAGGGGCCCTTCAAAAAACGCGCATGAGCTATGAAGGAGGGGTCTGGATGGATTGATTCCAAGACCTGACCATGCACCTTTCCTGCCGTCCAGCCAGCCAACAAAGAAAAAGCCGTGCTTGCACATGTTCACTGAAATATGAAGGACAAAAGGTTGGGACGCCATTTGGCCCTCTCTCTCACACCTGAGAGACTCTCGGATGAAAAAAGCCTGTCACGTCCGTTTGCACCAGTGTTTGACATCAGTCCCCAAATGTTTTAAACGACCTTTTTAGCACAGTAGAAGAGTATGAACTGGGGCTTAAACCCCCCTTTAGCTAGTGGTTGACCAGGGATGCAGAAGGCTATACTATTAGACTATTAGTTGGAAGGTCTTACCACTCATCTTCACCAAATGATCTATGGATATCTATGGTTATGCTTTACAACAACTAACGGCTAACGATCATCATGAAGGTGACCACTCATTCAACTACACTTGCAATTTACAACCATCACTGATATCAAATGATCCAAGCTCGACATTCCTTCAAATCCTTGGAAACTCTAAAGGTCAGCGGCCAAACCCGTTTGCATCACCCGGCATCTGACTGGGACTCGTTGGGGAAGAAAAGACCTTTCAGGTCGCTATACCATTGATCAGATCTTGAGCAAATCCAGACTCCTGACTCCTTTCACCGACGTCCCGTCGTCTCACGAAGGTATTTCATCGCTCTCACCTTGATGTTCTGGAAGGTCTCTTTGGAGGTTTGCGACCACCTCAGGAATTCCAACAAATTACAAAGCAAACGCCATGCTGAAGAAACTGTGTCGCTCAATGCATGTTAATGTTTCAAACATCCACCTGTCGCAGGCAGGTATGATACGTTCTTCCTGTGGCAACTAACTACCTGGACAAGAACTGTTGTAATGTAGACTGTTGATTGATGAACCCCATCTGGAGGCGCAAGACCATTCTGGTAGAGGCGCATATTCCATCAACAGTCTACATATGTCTATATTAAATTACACATTTGGGGACTCTTCCTCCCTTTGAACGGGATTCAGGGAGCATCTCTGGCCATGGGCCACGGGATGCTCTCAACCACATAAGGAATCGAGCCCCGTGATGATTTAAATAACACAGGGCACCCACACCATCCCACATCTTTACAATCTCTGCCACTGACCCACCAACAGTACAGTGTTGAGCGGCTTGCGTCATTGATACCTGGGGATCTCTATGTTGGTACGAGCTTTGTACAACTATATAATATATAATGTAAACATATGTAAACCAATTGGCTGCATGGAACCAAATGGTGTCCTTCCAACTCCACACTATCAACATGAATGCAAACTGTACAAAAGGAAACGATGAACCATCCACAATCCCCATTGCAACGTCACCACCCTTTCAACTCGCAGCACAGCTCAAGTACAACAAAGTCTCGTCACTTTGCAACCGCAAAAAAGAACTCACCAGGCCAACTGTTGACAGCCTTCCACCACCCTCCACCTGGGCAGCCGCACCCCACGCTGGGGATGTTGGGGATATTGGGGAACTCCGCCGCCGCGAAGCGCACGGGAATGAGGATCTTCCAGCCTCTTCCGATCCCACCGAGCAAGGTGTTGCCGCGGTGGACCTCTTTGGAACAGGACCCCTCCCAGCGGGGCAAATCCCACTTTCAAAGCGCCTGGTTGTTGTTCCTCCTAAAGGGCGTTCCATGGTTTTGCTGGATCCTACTTTTGCTGAATACTTGGGCATGGACTGTTTCATGGTTTGTCTCAATTGTTTCTCAGACCGAACTTGACCCACCGGCCACATGCTCCTTGCATGCACCAAAAAGCTGGCTTGGTGCTCAGGAACGTTTCTGAACTTTGGCATCAATTGTTACAGGATGATTGTTGTTGATTGCTCAGTTCAACAACGATCCTGTAGTCTGGGATGTAAGATGATGTAGGCAAACAGCTCAATCGATATGACTATGGATCCGTGATCCTAATCCAATCCATGACCCTCTACACCTCTTGGTTCAAGAACCACTGCATGGTAAATTCGGAGGTGAGTCTTGCAAAGGGTGTGTGTTTCAACATGTCTTGTGTTCTACTTTCTTCCAGTGCCTCATAGTTTCATAGTGCCTCCCATTTTTGTTATTTTACAGGTGGCACCTTTTTCAGAATCATTGAATTGTATCATGTTGTATCAGTTGTATCCCGTTCTCCACGGCGGCCATGTCACACCGACTGCTGCTGAGCTGCAGCTCGTGGCGTCGTCGTCACAGGAGACGAAGACCTGTTCGCGCAGAGTCATCCAAAATGAGGAAAGGTGCCTGGCTGAATTGGACTATCCATTACTCTACTTGGGTGTATATAAAGAGACCTCCCAAAGATCCCCTGGAAGACGGAAAAAAAGACCAAAACCCATTGGCCATGGGTTGGAGGTGTCTCTATTGAATTACAAACACCCACTTCAACTTCTCCGGCTGGGCATGGGCCCCTGAAGTTTGATAGCTGAAAACTGAGATAAACACAAAGAAACACATAACGAAAATCTGAGCTTGCTTATATGGTTTTCCTATATATATGTTGTTCTTGGCTTATATGTTTTCTTGACTAAGAACTGAGAACTGTGTATGTTCTTCGTCTGTTTTTCTTGGCTTCGGTCCACCTCCGTGGTGCCGAGAGAGCATCAGCATCCGATATCCTTCTCGCCGCGCCTCGTGGACGGTGTTGAACATCTCGATCCGTTTCAAGGCCTCGGGAGCGCAAAGACCGTATCAATCCAGGGAACTGGCATGCGCTTCCGATCAGTTGGGAGGTAGTTTGTTCATGTTTCTTCTATACGACATGCTGTTTTTGGTCTAAACATGTGGTCCCGGGGAGTGTCTTCCGGGAGTGGCACTAGCGCTGAAGCAGCAGGCGTGTTGTCGGTGGGATCAACGTTCACTCCTCACAAAGCGAAGTGAAGTTCAGAGCCGAGCTTTCCACTTCGTTGCAGCCGGCAATGAATGATCTTGCACGTACATGTGGCTATGGCTCCGCAATTGGTGTACCATCTTTTACGGCCCGTGATCAAAGAACATACTCACGCCTGCACTCTCATTTGGGTCACGTTTGGAGCCCCATGTCATATCTGTAAGGTTCAAAATAAAGAGTATCAGCCAAGGGCTCCAACATCTAATCGGACGTTCGCTCAAAGCCTCTCCAAGCACACAGAAACGGAGCAAATATGAGCAAACACACAGCCTGGACCTCAAACCGGGAGCCCCATTGGGTGTCCTTTGCGATCCAACCCCGGTTCGACTCAGCGGATGATGAGTAAAGAAGTTCATCGCTACTAGTAACAAGTGCATTACTACTAACAAATAGCTACTAGTAGCCACTTGTTACTAGTAGTAATGCACTTGTTACTAATAGTGATGCACCTTTCTACAAGTTGATCCTGACTCCGAGTCGGCTCCGAGTCGGCTCCTGTCATCCTCACTCGATCTCCGTCTTTGAGGCCATGGCTCCTGCGGAGCGGTCCATGCGGTGAGGCAGGGTTCTATGGTTCTTCATATTTCGCTTCCTTCATGAACCTTCCATCCCCTCTTCTCGGAAAACAACATAACCTCAAAAAACACTTTCCCAGCTGTTCTGTTTGAGAACGAGTTTTGGCCCACATGTTTGGTGTCCCACCTTCAAATCAGCACCTCACCATGCTTGGCTCATCGCTCCGGACCCTACCAATTGCAGCTTGCGCGGGCTCCTGTCGAAGGAGATCTCCGTGCCCATACTCGACCAAACCTCAGAAAACCAGACCGAAGGACGCCGAAGAACTCAAGAAACGATTCAAGTCAAGATTCAAGTCGTATATCCAAAGGTTGGACCTGTTAGTGCCTCAGCCCCAAGACTGACAACAGAAACATCAAATACCATTGATGTTTACCAGTCCTAGCCGGTCAGGTCCAGGGCATTGACCTTTCATATTCACCAAGTTCTCTGATTTCAGGCCAACCAAGCGATCCAAACGAATGATGATTCGATGATGGTTCCTATTGAGACCAAAGTACACAAGGCAAATTAAAACTGGCCATCATACCTGTATATGTACAGCATTATATAGCTATGTTAATTATACCAGCATTCTATGATTTGTAGACTCTCTGCAGACTCCTTCACTCTCAAACAAGACATACCAACCCCATGTACAGACGACACTTTGGCCAACAACATCTGATGCTTTGACAAGCGGAAACCAATGGCCCAAACGCAGTGGTTCAACGATGCCCCAAAACCATCCTAAACTGAAAAACGATCAACACGCACTTATCTCAAAAGTCCTGATCAACTTGTGCTATGTGGATCTATGTGGTCTATCCCTGAGTGTCCAACTGAAGACATCCCCACCCTTGCTGACCACACACCGCACTCGAAATATCAAAAAATTGCCCACCACTCATGACACGCTCGATGGTCACTCCTCTCCTCCTCCCCCCGCCGAGCTGCCATGTCGGTGAGCCGTGCCCCAGAGGTGTCGCGGGTGTGGAGGATCGCTGTGCCAATCTCGGAGGTGTCGCGCGCGTTCGCCCGACGGAGATGACGGACCCCCCGTTTGGAGAATTGAAAATGGGCTGGAAGACATAACACTGTGACACCAGGGGGTTGGGGGTTCATTGAAGTGTCAAGATCAAGAGTTTTGTGGGAATATGCAGGCAAAAAGTTGGAGGGAATTGAGGGGCACGTGATTTATAACATACATCATTGTCCCCTCTGGTGGACCACAGGCCATCTACCGCAACAGGATTGAATTATAGTCAGCTGATGGTGTCAATGGTGTCGCATGCCACTTGTGCAAGTGACTTTTCCAGTGTGCTTTACGCTTATGCTGTGGAGGTCTGCAGGTTGTGTGTTTTTTGATTTCTTTCTGAAACAAGCGTGCCCCTGAGCAATGACTTGCCTTCAATCTCGACTGAGCACAAAATACAGCGCAACTTGTGCAAGCAATGGGTTGCATCATGATCACTGTGATAGACCATCATGAACCGCCCACAAACGGGGCTCGGAAGTCTCTACTCCACACTCGCACACCCTGGTTTGAATGGGAGAAATCTCTGAAGGTTTGTGAGTTGGCATTTTTATGTTGATTCCAAACAGTCAAAGCTGCTTGCTCAGTCTCAACAAGGATTGGTACTTCAGGGATCTGGTCAAAAAGAAATCCAGTCCACGGCACCCAAATATCAGGAGCTCCGGGCAATTGAAGGCTATTTCCCTGATTGGTCGCACACTGCACACAAACACACAAGTACTAACACCCATGTGCAGGTCTAAAGTCTTTGAACCTCACTTACTAACTACTACATTGACAGGGAGACTTGCTGACCTCCAGGCATGGCGACGGACAGGCAAGATCTAGCCCAATGCCCATCTCTTAGGCTCCAGGCCGGGCCGTTGGCATTGTTCGTAGGGCCCAGGTTCCCACAATCTTGCAGCCTTGCAGGAACGCATCATGTCATCGAAACAAACGGTATATGCGTTCCTTTCAGTTTGGTGGGTTTGGTGAGCGTTTGCCGCTGCAAAGGAGCTTTTTTTGTTTTCATTCAGGTATGGATTGGCTGAACCGAAGTTGAGTTGAAGCAGCAACCATTGATGGATATACTATAACTGTACACTCTTGATGTTCGGACATAAAAGAACATAATACATAACACCATTGGCCTTCTTTGTTCCTAGAACCAGGGCCGCGCAGTCCTTGGTTTAACCCACCTGCCAAGTGTTGGTATATATATATATATATGTATATAACAGTATATATTTAGTTCCACAAACTTTCACTTGGGTGGCTTGTTCATACTTGATTTCAACTGCTGGTTGCCGCATTGTCACAGACCAGTTCCGGCGGATGCTATTTGAGTGGAGCGATGTGAGGGACTCACGTGGATTCTTCTAACGCCGATCTGGAGAATCATTTGACAGAACACCATATTTCATCATATATTCCTATAATGGTCTTGATGGTCTTGTATAATCTTGTATAAAAGAATCCAAAAAGCTCACATCCTAAAACATGTTGACCTCTCTTTGATTTCTATACGACCTAACCAGTCCGATCTCGGACTCAGGTTCGGTTGACCGACCCCCTGCTCCTATTGGCGCGGACGCATGTTGCCGCAACGAGTTGGGTTCACGAGGTCCCCCGCTGTTGAGCCGTGTTCAGGATCAAAGCCTTGGGATCCGGGTCTTGGAGTGGAACAGTGAGAATTCCCTTCCGGTTTGGTCTGAGGACCAATTGAACTGGGGGATGAGAGGAAAGCTTTCTTTAGAAACCGCAAAATGCTGTTGGACTTCTTTGGTGCCAAAACAGTTCTTCATGCCACTCATTGCTTTACGACGATCATGGGAACTGTTCAGCCAACGATTGCTGTCGTGGATCTGCCTTTGGGCAGAAAACAGGTCTTGTTCCAATTTGGGCATCTACGTTATGCCAATGAAGTGATGGATCTGCCTTTTGGGATGCTGGAAGGGCTCTGTTTCCCCGGATCTAACCTTCGGCCCCAACGGAGGGGTTCCGATGGGAGAAGATTGATGGCAGGAACGAGATCGAAGAAACGGTCCTCCAAAACATTCCAAAACACTCTATGTATGGAATAGGCTGCATACATTGCAGGTGGTTGAAAAGGGGTATAACATGCCATACATGAAGTGTATGGGAATGATATAGACTGACCCAAATGAACACATGGTGTTGGATGGGTTTTATTCCAAAAGAATACTATTCTAATCATAACATGGGCATACATGGGCCATCTTTTTTTGGGGAGGTTGTACATGGTTGTGCTGTATACTCTGAAGCCATCAAAGTGAGATCACATACACAATTCACGGTCAGTTCAGGATATTCAGGACATCTGCAAACACCTGACCTGCAAACCAAAAAAACTGCCCAAACTAAACCATACCAACTGATGCTACATGGATCCACATGGTGTATTGTCGGCGTGTATCGCATTTTCAACCACCATCTACATATCTACCCATCGAAGCCACCCTTGGGTTGAGGCCCTGGCCCGGTTGGTTTCTTGCAGGTCGTAGCCCTCAACGTCGATGCTGAAGGTGACGCCCGTGTACCTCGGTGAGTGCAGCGGCCAGTTGCGCTGTGCCATTTGGAAAGCTGAGTGGAGCGTTTTGGAAAGCGTTTTGGAGTGCAAGGGCGCTCAGCTCAAGCTTCAAAGAACATGGGTCGGGCAGGTTGTTTCATCACACTGAGTTTGTTTGCATGCTGGGAAAATCTATAATTAGTGATATTTAGACCCTGTAGGTGTTTGAAGGTGATGCAGGATGCTTCCACCTACAGCATTGAAAGACACATCGAGGTTGACTTCGGAGTTGCTCGGCCTCGTCCAACTTTGTCGAGCGGTCGGTCCCGCCACGATTTGGCCTTGGGCGGTCGAAGCGGAGCATGGTCGAGGCTGTTTCGCAATCACCGACTTTCCCGCAAGGAACAGGAGAGAAATTGCCAATGGACCCTGAGGTCCAATAATTGGTCCAAAGATCAGTATGTTCTGTCACATTGGAGACAGTCCAAATGTCATCCTGTGGCCTTCGAAACAGTTGGTCTTTTCTGTGACATGACCGAACGTGAACCCAAACTGCGGGATCGGACAGAGGATGATAGCGGCTGGTCACACGGTCACCCTCCCACGGCCGTTGGGCTGTTTGACAGCCGAGCTCATCGGGCTACGCCAAGGGTTGGATTATAAGGGCAATCTTACAGGAGTCTGGAGACGGTTTGAAAGTCAAGGGTGCTGGTAGCCGGTAACAAATTTGTCCATCCATGGAATCCATCTGTCCGAAAATGTACCCTTTAAATCCCTTTACAATGAAGACGTATCAGGGTTTGTTAGGCTCTTCAACCCATGCTCTAGTCTATCTTGATTTTCTGCAGTGACTCAACCAATCATTGGAGTTGCAACTGGAACTTCCAAGTCACCAGCCAAGGAGGCCTCTATACTCTATACCCATCCGCGATACCCCACAGGACGTGACACCAGTCCCACGGACCCACGCAGCGCGTAC